AGACAGTGTCCAACACGAAAGACGAAAAGAAGAACAAGAAGATGAAGAGAAGAGTATGCGGGGCAGTTTGTCCGAAGCGTTACACCGCCGGTCGTTGTTGTAAAGGTCCATAATCCTCTGGCATCGACAACATTGTAATACACTCCTCCTTTTTCCTCAAATATGCGGTTCCGGTAGTGAAACACCCTGGAAAGCCGCCAGGTAACGACACCCCAGAGGCACTCTCCTCCAAAAAACACCCCGTCAGTTTCATCCTGTCTCCATCGCAGCCTCCTTGGAGAGTCTGAGCAACCAACGTCCGGGCGGCCGCAGGAGGGAATAGCATCCGCTACTCAATCTCTAACTCTCTCTCTCTCTCTCTCTCTCTCTCTTTCTTATAATCTCTCTCTACTCTCTCCAAATCTCTCTACTTATCTCAATCTCTCTCTCTCTCTCTCTCTGCACGGCTGCTGTTAGTTTGTTATTTCATCACACAGGCATGCCGCCATTGGTCTCTCACTTATTTGTTTTCTGGCGCTCATTGTTGTGTTTGTTGTGATAAAATAACTTATTTACCCCCCCCCACTATTGTAATAATGTCTATATCTATATTGTTGGGAATTGCCTAAAGGAGAGGCTTGGTAAGTTTGCTTAAGCTTGAACAAACAAGTAAATAAGAACCAAGACAACCTGCCTAACAAACAACCTGCTAACTCATTTTAAATGTGCACAATTTGAGCTCAATTGTAGCCTAAGAATGTATGAATGAAGTGGTACCCAGAACACTTGTCAAAGACTCTAATAAACTCTGTTAATTCATTTATTAATTCAACAGACGCTGCAAACAAAGGCTAATGATTTATCATTTAACTGCAAAAAGGGACAAACAACAAAAATACAGAATAAAATCACGACAGTCTTGAAGAAAAGCAGTTTGAAACAGCTGGGTAAAACTGATAAAGTATAGTTAAATGTGTCTGTTTATGTTGAGCAGACGGGGGTTTCTGGCAATCGTTTTCCGGAAAGTTTTAAACTTGAACGACATGATTGTACAGCCAAAATAAAACACATTTAATTCTCTAATTCTCAACCAGGTGACATTTTCTGATAGCTGATGCCAGGGCCCGAGGAGGGGCCCACTCCAAATATACAGACTTGAGGCCATATTATGCACAGGGGCCCCTTTGTTAACTCTGCTGTGTAGTAGAGTACAGGGGTTTTGTGTCTGGGTTGCTCAACAGGTAAAGTGTAAGGACCTGCATATGTTTTGCCCCAGGGCCCCTTAGAGCCTTAGTTTGGCCATGGTTAATAAGAAGTGGACCTTCAGTAAACACTTTACTTCACCAGAAAAGTGACATGTTATTAGATAAACCTGTGTGTGTTCTCTTTTACGATAAGTTTCACATGTTTGCCATATTGTCATATTACAGAGTTTATAAAAGTGGGATCTTATCTCTTTATATTCCTAGACAATCCTGATTATCACAAAAATGTAGGTATCATACTGGCATAGGCTCCTCATCTTTCTTGGCCAGAATATAAATGGTTAAAACATGGCTGTGGTACCGAAAACACTGTTTCTTACTTGCAGTCTTTGTGGCATCCACTAAGAATCTAAAAAGTAGTTAAATCTGGCTGCTGCAGGTTAATGATGAACATATCAAATGTTTTCTGAACACAAAACATGTGGATGATAAGCAAAACCAGTCTGCAGTTTTACACCTTTGGAAATTTTGCATATTCAAGTCATATCAAACAACTCCAAAACAATGTATTATACTATTTTAATTCAATATACATTCATTTGTTTTATTACACCTGCCGTCCTCATCACCACAGACAGTTATACAATATAAATCTACAGAATGTGTTAATGATAGAGGCTTATAAAATAGATAATGCACAATAAACAGTTTAAACGTTAAAACAAGATCAAAGTGAACTACACATCAACAGCGATGAGGGGGGGGGGGGGGGGTTAATGACATGCTGCTTTCTGATTGGTCACTGCTGAGCCGCCCCCCCCCCTCGTAAATGCGGAAGTGTAAACTAGTAGAAGTTGACCCTGCTGTGTCTGTCAGATAGTGTTGCTGCTGTAGCCGCTGTCCTGGTGCTATTTGGGAATCAGGGAACAATATCTGATAGGAATGTCTCTGTCATTCGAGGGAAGAGTCGTGCTTGTGACTGGAGCCGGAGGAGGTATCGTTAAAGTCAAACACAACGTTAGCTTGTCCTCGCTGCTCACTGTAAATACTGGGGGATTTACAGGGTTTGTAACGTTAGCTCCGATTGCTAACCTGCTAATTTCGTAGATTTAGTAAAACATGTGAGGCAGATTATTACGCCAGCTAAGGCAGAAGTCTTTCTTTATGTGGTTTGAGTTGTCCAGCTGTTCATCTCGGTATCTTCCTGATCGCTAACAGCTGCAAGTTGCAACTCGTAAAGTAAACAAGCTTAGACAAGAGTATCCCGATGAGCCTTCTGGAAACAACGAACCACACTGGGTGATAGTACACCAAGCACTGCATTGGTGTGACTTGCAATAGATTCTGGTCAACCTTGCCATTTGAAGAACACGGGGTGCAAAGTACATGTAACGCAATGGCTTATACTCATGCCAGTGCAAGTGTGTCAAAGGGCACATTCAACCACACTGCAACAGGGGTTATGGATCAGGGTGTTTTTATTCTGTGAAAGAATGCTTTGCGTGCATTTTACTCATCTGTCTTTCTTTCTGCAGGCCTTGGTAGAGAATATGCACTGGCTTTTGCTGAAAGAGGTGCCTCGGTCATAGGTAAATGAGAGATCTTACAGCTCATTGTTTGGACGGGTGCAGTGAAAGCAATGTGTGTAGTGCAAACACCTTATGTGCCTTTTAGAAATGCTTGCTAAAATGTAACAATCTGTAACAATTTCTTCCACCAGTTACATGTATTCAGTCACATTGGGCGGCAGACTCAGTTTTTAGTGTCACAATCTCATGTTCACTTACTTAAATAAAAAATATTCAGATGACTTTTACGCAGTGAGTTGGAAAGATTTTAAACTTGGTGGCGAAAAAAAGAGTACTGCTATCAAATTGGTACTCGGTATCAGCAGAGACGAGTTGAGGTATTGAAATTGGTATTGGGAGAGAGATAATTATTACTCAAAATGAGGCATACCATAAAGAAATGTGCAGTGCATTGCATACTTTTTAGACTACACAGTTTCCGATGTTGGCATAAACATTTGCCCCCCCCCCCCCAAAGAAAATAATAACTTTCCCTGGTGCCTGGACTGAACTTGCCCTTGAACTCTGACAAGGAATCAGCTTAGCTGCACTCTTTTCCTAACCTAATCAGTCCTGGAGAATTGCAGAACTCACCCTATTATTGCTAATCTTTTTCTTCTTCTTGCAATAAAGTGAATGACCTTGGGGTAGACACTAAAGGGGGTGGAAAGAGTTCTGCAGCTGCTGATAAGGTGGTGGAGGAGATAAGAGCGAAAGGAGGCAAGGCCGTGGCGAACTATGGTGAGAAGTTTGGACTAGCCTTGTGTTAAGTCTTTTCTCTTCTCTCACACATCATTATCTCCATCTTGTTTACCTTGAACTATATAGCTTGTGTAATGTTAGACTCCAAAACTGTATTGATTTCTGTCGGTCTGAGTAGCTCACTGATGAAGCTGTTAGTGACTATTGAAGACAAATGTGTCCGTTCTCACGTCTTTGTGCATCTCGCTTGTATAAGAATAAAACCCTGCTTTAAAGAACAAAACATGACCATGCTTTGATCAGTGTGTTTCATAGATACTTTTGAACACAGCTGATTTGTTTGTAGATGCAATACGAAGGTATCAAAGCTATGATGATGTGCAGCGGTCAATAGAAATGTTACTTTGAAAAGGTGATGCATCATATATAATTTCCCAACATACTGAGTGTGTGAGGGCTATCAGTTTTCTCTAGTACATAATAAAACAATCTCATATGCCTCTCTTCCTCAGTTATAGTATTGTAACAAGAATATAACACATAGCTACAGCCTTCTGGAAACCCAGTAATGCAAAATAATTTAAGATTCTTCACTATATCAAATGCAAAACTATAAAAACATTTCTATATTTCTATTTCTGTCATGCACACACAGATTCTGTAGAAGATGGAGAAAAATTGATTCAATCCGCACTGGATGCATTTGGAAGAATAGGTGAGTAAATTCTTTGTAGTTTATACTTATACCGAGTATTACAACATTAAATTATTTCAAATTAAGTGATTGTTATTAATGTTCTTACTGCTGTTTGAACTAATTATTGAACTAAATCTGGTGAAATATCTTTTTGTCTAGATGTTGTTGTAAACAATGCTGGGTAAGTCATTTCACAGTTGTTGTTTTTTTTACATACTTTCTGCTAGGTCTAATCACATCATCTGTTTTTTAGAGTGGCTCTGATTGCAGTAGTGTGGGCCACTTAAATCATGTTAAAGCGAGGCTTAAGTTGTGTCACAAAGACTGGAAAGACTAAAAGCCATTCCTGCTTTTCTTTTCCAAGGATACTTCGTGACCGATCGTTTGCCAGGACGAGTGATTTGGACTGGGGTAATTAAATTATTTTTGATCTTTACATTCCTCTCACATTAACTCCTACTGTGTTTGGGTTAATCTCATATCATTACATTATTTATTTTTGTTTGTCTCGCCTCGTAATCGCACCTTGCCACCACATTATAAATAGAAGAATGCAGTTCACAACAACTTGGGTTTCATTTACTTTCTGTCTATAAAAACAGATTGTCTGTGTGGGAGTTGAAGACTCTACTGTATGGATCTGATCCACAATGTTGTAATACTGTACTGTGTCATTCTTCTGTTTCAGACCTGATTCATAGAATTCACTTGAGAGGCTCCTTCTTGGTGACACGAGCTGCTTGGAACCACATGAAAAACCAGAAGTTTGGCAGGTGAGGAGCCCAGCTACTAACAGCTATTATAGTTGGATAAAAACTGTGCCATCCTCCTATTACTTTGGTAGGATTTTTCTTTTATAGATCCAACAAAGTTACAGTATCCTCAGCAGACGTTGCTGGACCGTAATCAAGAATATATCTGTATAATTTTATATCATAAAATGCTGTGTGGTAAGATCTGATTCAAGATGTCAGCGAAAGTAGAAAAGATACCCACATTTTTTTTTATGTGCCCCACTTTAAAGGGGCTTTTGAAGATACACACTTGAAGTAATGACTATATAAAGTATGTCTTGGATCACATTATTATACACATATTCTGACTTTAGTCACTTGATACTTCTTAATATGTTTAGCTCCATTGGTTTCATGGTGTAAAAAAAAAAAAAAACAGCATACTAATAAAAGCCCAAGACAGCAAATTTAATAGTACTGTTTAAATTAATGACTGAACAAGAAGCAAAAAGATGTCTGTTCAGGCATATTCTTATTCTTCAGCAGTACAGTGTAAAGAATTTAAATATCCACTTCTCTGAAGTTGTCATCTGAGACTCTTGATTCGCCTCTTGAATCAGAAGCGAAACATCCAGTGGATAATTTGTAGTGACTTGAAGCTGTGAGGATGTATGCAGTTATGTGTTGATGACTCAGTCGCTTATGGAAGATGAAGACGTCGCTGACTTAGACAGACATCCAATGCACAATGTGTTATTTCATTAACAGGGATTTGTTAACAGGCCTCTCTTGGAGCAACTAATACCATTTCAGATGGTCGCTTTATGCAACTTAACTGAATAGCTGCGCTGCTCCTGCTTTGGCAAGTAAAAATATGTGCTGGGAAAAAGAGCCTATTGAGGTTTAGTCTTATGAAACTGGACGATGGGAGCTCTCAGTGTGTACCAATCGTCTGAGGATTTCTAAATTCAAAGTAGTTGTTTGAATGGCTGCCAGAACAGCCGCTAACAAACATACGCCCCCCCCTTACTTCAAGGACGTGTCTCACCTGAAACGATGCTTTCCCTCCGTTCTCCTCTGCAGTGAAACAAACTGAAGATATGCCGAATCACTTTGTAACAGAGAGAGATTTTCTTAAAGCATTGAAACTGGATGAACCAAGCAACGTTATATGGTATGACAGTGTTTACAAGCACAAGACTTCTGCATGTCACTGCCATAAAAACTTTGGATTGGTTCTGCAGTGCAGGTTTTTTAAAACCAATTGTTTTCAGCCAGTTTTAGCAGCTTATGCTGAGAAAAAGTCCTCATTCTATATTGAGCGAAGCGTTTAGAGACTGACTTCTGAGTCTAATTGAGGTTTGCATGTTTTGAATTTTAATTAGCAGAAGAAGGTCACACAAACTCCCATGATACTCCAGGTAACAGATGCCCTTCACAAGTGCACACACGTTATTCTACATGAATGGTAGAAGACAGTAGTTCGTAACATGCAAGTGGCATTTTGCTGTTTTACTGCATTGAACTGAGCAGCTTATTACTCAGTAAGAATACATAACAGTTGCAAATCATTCAGTTGGTTTTATATCAAGGTTTTGATGTAGTTTAAAATGTCCGAGGCATTTTATGCCTGTTATGTTGCGTGTAGAGGAGCAGGTTGGAGGGAAATTCCTCTAGTGAAAGTTATTATACCATTAAATATGTCTAGGCCAGACAAGATAGTTTTCTTCAGTCCTATGTTCAATTGCTTTACTATTGGGTGTTCTTCACTGGTAAAGAGAATTCAACGTAGGTTTTTTGAGTAAGGCAGCAACATTTTAAAAAGGACTGCAGCCAAAGTTTTGGTTACTGTAAAAGGGTAAAATTATGTGTTCTGTATATCTAATATTATTTATCCCGAAAGGAGTGTGAAGAAGGTGTTTCATTTCAATGTATTTTCTTTGACCTGAGAATTAAATGTGAATGGGTGAGGTGGGTCGGTGGTGAAAGGCTGTCAGAACATCATGAAAGATTGAGAAAGCATGCATGTATTTTTTAAATATTCTCATCCAATTTCTTCTGGGTTTTGCAAATAGATTTACCCTCATACTGCCTGCAGTAAGAGTCATTGCTGATTTCTCTGATTTAGGTCTGCATCCTCTTGAGAGTAGGGGTGTTTTCTCTTGGGCTTGCCAGAGGAGGGAAGTAAAGGAAAGCAGGCGTAATTCTTTTTTGCTTATATTCCAGTCATCTAAATATCACTCTCACCTGGCAGATAACTCTGGGTTATCCTCGTGACATTAACCACTCCTGTAGTTCAGGGCGTCTATCCCAGTTAGAGCAGGGTAGAGAGCAAATTGTGTTGGTGAGGTCAGGACACATGCTTGGCTCTACTGCCGTCTAGAGAGGTTGGTTTTTACCACGTGAGTACAGTTCTTCTCGTTACATATGGGCAAGTTTAAATTCAATTTTTGTGTGCAGTCACCCTCAACAAAAGTTGATGGTGTATTTAAAGGTAAAACCATAACAGGAGGAATGGAAAAGTAGAAACCCTCATGGCATGACTCTTCACAAGATATACAAGCCAATGTTGTTGCAACAAGCAGACATAATTATTCTCAGGTCTCTAATGCACAAAAGACAGTTTGTCTGTTTGCTATTGCTCTTTTACAACATTTTATCTTATGATGTGCTCTAGAAAGATGTGTTGATAGTCTGAAAGGTTTCCTCAGTAATTGAATCGTAGACTTTAGCACATAAAGTTATTGATTTGAAAAAAATTCTATCATTGCCAATCCTCTGGTTCCATTGTAGTATACAATATGAGCGTGCTGTGATATGGATCATTGCTTTCTGATGACCAGTGAGAAAGCGTGTTTCAGATGTCTCCCACAGTTAATGTAGTGTTGGTGGTTAACCTCATTACTTTTGCTTGACTGAAGTGAACTCTTGTTCTGCGTGAGATTACTAGCAAAATTGTATGCGCAAGACTGTGTCTGCTGTGCATACATGCATTGTTTCCTGCATAAAGCCTGTGCTTTACAGTTGATCAAGAAAATGTGCAGTTCAGTATCTGTGATGAAGCAGTTGGGGGTGCGTGTGTGAATGGGCTAGCATCACATGGCTAGATGCTTACATATGTGTACTCCTGTGTGTTTACGCATGCAAAAAAACATGTACTACTTTGTGAGATTATGTGTGTGTGTGCATTGGGCCTGTCTGTGTCTCGTATTACTCCATAGAGATGTCATTGACTTGTTGCCTCTGGTTGTCTGTGTCCAGAATCATCATGACGGCTTCAGCCGCAGGCATATATGGTAACTTCGGCCAGGCCAACTACAGCGCTGCCAAGCTGGGCTTGCTGGGGCTGGCAAACACCCTGGCCATTGAGGGACAGAAGTACAACATCCACTGCAACACTATTGCCCCTGTTGCTGGGTCACGTCTCACAGAGACCGTCATGCCCCCAGGTAAGCAGAGCGATTAAACAACATACATAATTGCATGCAGTTGGTCTGTATTATGCAGACTGTGGTATGTGGGTGCACACATTCTCTCACATATAGGTTTCTTTGTGGACTCGCAAAAATAGGCAAATAGAGCAGCTGCATAATGTAAGGCCCATGTAAGGGTGATTTACAAAATTTGAGGCAACAGCAGTCCCGTTTGACATGCAAATTTGTCATCTAATATTCAAGAGCTGTGTTTTTTTTTTTTGTTTTTTTTTTTTGCAGCCTTGATGAAACCCTGTAAGTGCTTTTAAAAGTTTTAATGTGTCAGCCCTTGATTTAAACAGATGGCTCTGGCCTCCCTATTTTACTGTAGGTGTTAGCTGTGCTCCAAAATATGTGAGTAAGTATGCTAATGAAACATTTACATTTTTTTATGTTTCTTAAGACAGAAAGTAATGCAGTATTGGATGCCTACAGTGAACAAAATGAAATATAGCTCAGAACCGCACTACTTTCTAGCACTGTCTGCTCATATATATGGGGAATGTTTTTCCAACCCAGTATCTGTAGATGTCTCTACATCATGAGCATATTGTGCATGCTCTGTGACTGCAGCCCTGTTGACAGGGGTATAAAGTGACAGATTAAAGGAATGGTTTTGTTATCCTGCCGTGTTGGTCTACAGTAGCATCTGTCACACTGCGGCGTGCCAACTGTCACAGGATGGCCTCACCTTAGTAAATGACTTGGTTCCATATGTTAGCTTTCACTGACTCAGGCCTTTCTAAAAAAAACACAACAAACTCATCTTGCTAAACATTGCAGAGAGCAGTGAAACAGCTTCTGCCACCATGTTTTGTTGATTGAAGGGTACAGATATTTTCAGCCCTCGTATGGTGTCTAACTTTACGGGTTCATACAGGGAATTAAAAGCCTGTGCCATATTTACTTGACTTCATTCCAGCATGTTTAGGAAGATATTATTAGTACTTAAGGCTCGTTTTTAGTTTTTACTAATTTTCATCTAAAAAATACACAGACCTTTTTAGAGATCACTTTAAACTATAGATTGTGACTGGTACCTATGTTCTTATGCATTCAAACTCTGTGCTGTTTTCTGCTATTTGTCTTGCAGAAGATTATCTTAATAAAGCACACAGATTAGTATGTGGTAAACAGTTCATACTGTGTAATTACAGGGCGGTGACTTAACAAATATATTGCGTGGCTTTTGATAAATTAAGAGCATGATTTCAGACCATGTTGATTCATCATGCACATATTGTATACTTCAATGCTAGTAAGGTATATTCAAAAATAGAATTAAGGGTATTTTTTCCTATAAATCCATGTCATGCAACTTGGCATGTCTATTAGCTCTGTAGCAAAAGGAAAAAACCTCGAGGCTTAAAACAGACCATGTACTTGTGGTACTTTGAAACTGAGCACATTACACAATCACAGCATCCTTTTAATTATACACTAACTACCAGACAGGGACAATGAAGCAGAAGAACCCATTTGCTGTTTAGGTCAATAGTATAACAGATGTGCAATATAAAAGAAGCTCTTCTGTACTGTATTTGTATATCTTTTGTTTTATTTAGACCTTGTGGCGTCTCTGAAGCCTGAGTATGTTGCTCCCATGGTCCTCTGGCTCTGTCATGAACAATGCCAAGAAAATGGAGGACTGTTTGAGGTATGCAGAAAACTAATTCTCTCACTGTAGTGCTTGTAACCTTGTGTCTGCTTTTTTTATGTTGTCATTGAGAGCAGTAAGGTACCACTGACACATTCAGTTTCCATAAAGAGAAAATCTTTTTTAATATCTGTTTGTTTGCTCATCTGCTCACGTTTCATGTCCTTTCAGGTCGGTGCAGGCTGGATTGGTAAATGTGAGTACTGTGTCTTTTTTCCTGAGGGAGTGTCTGTATGCTTCTATGATATTCATTAGCCTCTGGTTCACTAGTACTGTATGTGTGTGATTTTCACTATGCAATGACCTCTTTATTTGTGTGTGTCCATGTGTGCAGTGCGCTGGGAGCGTTCTCAGGGCCACACTGTGAGACAAAAGAACCAACCCATGACTCCCGAGGCTGTCAGGGACCAGTGGGATAAAGTCTGTGATTTTACAGATGCCACCAAGCCTTCTACCGTACAAGGTCAGTAATGCATTGGGTTGAATACACGTTCTCACAATAACCTACAAAATATGGGTGTATGGGTGCATTTGTGTACAAAGCGTACATACTCTGCATGCATACACAAACACACTTGCACAAGTACCACACAGAAGATGCTTTGTTAAGATTTTCTAGTCATTTATATCTTTATGAAAACGTCAACCACATTTATTAATTGTGGAATTAATGTAATTCCTCTTGTCTGGAATGGCCATTTATTGTTTGGAGTTGAGATGTCACTAAGACCATTTTTTTACACACATTTTCTTTATTTGAGTCTGAATCTGAGTTGGATCCCCCTCACCCTCCTAATAGTGCTTTTGGTGTGCTTTCATACTTGTTTGACTCATTCTGTGTTGAATAAGAATGATTCAGATTGCTGTATCTTTGAACTAATCAAAGCCATGACATACTAACAATGAAATAAGCATGGTTATTGTTGTTTGTTATTTGGCTTTGTGTAGGTAACTCTCTGGTTCTCTAAAGAAACTATTATATTTCATGTTTAAAAAAGATTTTAGACGTGGGACAGCTCTTAAGCTTCATAAAAGTAGTACTGTTGCCTCCACAAACTGTCATGAGAAGATGGTGTGTGTGTGTATGTGTATGCTGACACCCAGAAAAGTGTGTTAAACAGGGTATCTGCAGGTGTGTCTTAAAAAAGTCTTAAAAATGCACATGAACGCATGGTAGCTCAAATGAAATTAACCTTAAAGGAAAGTTTTGTTCTTTATTATTGGATTATTGACAGCTATTTTAGTATGACTATGTGACATTGGTAGAATATTCGGATATGAGAAGAAAACAGGACAGTTGGTAAATATATTCATTTGGGAAATGCATATATTTAAACGTGTAATTAGCCTGTGTGGGGTGGACCAGAAGGCATAATCCAAACACCACCTTTTGAGAACTCTTAACACATTATATCTGTGAAGAATTGTGATTAAGAATGAGAAAAAAAGCACATGGTCAGTGTAGGCGTCATGTAGTCACACTGTATGACTGAGCTTTTGTGAGAGTGAGAATCTTCTGAAACAACATGAGCCCTTTCTACTACCAGCTCAGCTGTATTTACAGAGAGTTCGGTAACATCGAGCAGGGACAAGATGGTGTTGGTGATCAAGCGAACTAGGAGGAGAAAAGAAGTGAAGGTGAACACAATGTTGTTCCCGAAAGGTCTCATGCAAACAAGCGGGTGGCAAATGTTGATTATCATTTCTCTCCGCCCCCTCCATCCCTCTCCACACTCTCAGATGTACATTCGAAGAAAGGTTAACATTAACTGAATGAGGGTGGTAGTCCCACAGGGCGCTAGCTGGCCTCATTAGCATGGCTTTGTAGTGCCTCCTCATTTGTAGGTTATTACGGAGACTTGTTGCTGCCTCTGTTCTGTAACCGCCTGCCACTGAGTGACGGTAATTAGTGGCTGTGGTCCTCCCTGTCTCCCTCTGTTTCTGTCCCTCAGTTGTCTCAGCTGTCTTCCTTTTGTTTGTTTTGGCTGAATCTGCATAGGTATTCATAGCTTTTGTTACCTGGGTGGATATATTTACATTTTATTTCTAGGAAAACTAAGTATGTAAACAACTAATGTTAGAATAGAGAACTCGTCACATTTATTCTATGGCTGTAAAGCAATTTAAAAAAAAGAATTGCCTGCTTTGTGATTATTGAATCTAAATTAATCGCAGATATAAATTATTGTTATGAGAAGCATTTAAAAATATTGTATATATAATCTGTCACAGGTAGTTCGAGTGTGGCTTGATGAGAGTGGTTGCTCACAGTAGCCTCAGGAGCTTTGCTAGGTCTGACCTATGAGCTCGAAAACAACAGGACGGTGCTCCCAGTTCCATCTGGGCGTTGTTTTAAATTATAATTATCCATTTGCTCGGCCAAGAAACGTTTGGTTATCTGCATCCATCATAGAGTGCGATTAATCTGCATTTGTTTAGTGTGTTATTTTTTGATGTAACTAATTAAATCTTTAGTTTAGTTTTTGTTGCCTTTGTACATCTACCAGAAGAACACACACATTACATCAAAATATACAACTGCAGAGGAGGGGTAACAACGACTAGTAATGCAGTTATCAGCTGGATCAGTATGTGTTCTTATCATGGGTTAACATCTCTGGAATTCTATTTAAATTTACCTCGATCCATTTAATTTGGGATTAAAAACTCTGAGCTGTCAGAGCAAAAAATCCTTAAGCTCATGCAAAAGTGCAGGTTTAATGATTGTTATCAGGTTGATGTACACCATACATGAAGAAATTCTCAGACATTAGGGACCCTACACTTGCTATCTGAGGCACCACTATCATGATTTTAAAAGCACCCACAAGCACTGATGATGAATTTGTCACCTCATCTTTCTGTGTTTCGATGTATGGTTCTGGTGTGCTTCCAATCATCTGTCATCTCTCCCCGTTGTGTAGAGTCTCTACAGTCGATTGTGAGTGTGCTGTCTCGAGTGGAGTCGGAGGGAGAAGTCGATGCAAATCCGACAGCAGCTGCAGCCTCTGCAGCCTCAGCTTCAGGGATCAATCCTGTGAGTAGAGATGGCTATTGCTGCCTTGAATAGTTCCCCTTTCCTGCTGTACACAGTATTGTTAGTGTATTCATATTCAATTGTGGGCTGCTGGGAGACACACCTCTAAACTAAAAAGTGGGACTGTTGCAACAGGGGATTGTGTGTGCAAGAGGCTGTTCCATGTTTTTTTTGTGGTGTTTCAGTGAGTGTCATCAGACCTATAGCCAACACTGTTAGCTACAATAGCTACTAGGGAACTCATGGACTCATGGGCAGGTTTAAACTCAAATGAAGGAAATCATTTTTATTTGCTTAATCCATTTTCTGTCGTTTATCCAGGTTGCATTTATGTAATCACTTTACCATTAGAAGTATAAGGTAAAAGTAAAAAAATGGGAACAAATAATTGTAGGCCATTTCGTCCCTGCTGGTTATCCATCATTCGAATCTATGTGGTAAAATGTATTCACAGTGAATACATGTTACCACGTCGTGCAGCAACGACTTGGTACATGGGGCGCCAGCTCTACAAGGTGAGCTATACAGCTCCCGATGTTGAACATGCACATGTGGATCAGGCTGGGATATGCAAAAAAAGGGGATTCCTAGTTAAAGTAAACAATTACTTTACTTTACTTCAAAAAGTGAATGTGACCTGAGTATAATTTGCATATGCCTGACCCTCTTTTACCATTTTCTTTTTCACAGTATCTCACTAATTCTTCCACTGTCATCCTCCTTTTGTCCCTTTCCTTTTTTCCTTCACTATTTTAGGGTTGGTTCTTAACCTTATTTTCACCACTGTTACTTGATGTCCATTCATGTTTTCCTCCACCTGACTTTCACTCGATCATTCCTCCTACTGCGACTGTAGTAGCAACTTTTAACGGTTTGTTGATAATGACTTCCGAAAGTGTGGAGCTGTAAAATCTCAGGCTGTTTCAAACATGGCAACTCATGACTCTTTAATACCAGCACACTGTAATTAGTAATAACCTTCTCAGCAAAGCTCCTACAACCCACATAAATACTTTGATGTCTCCTGTAAATATGAAACGGTGATGCACCGGAGAAGTGCCAACTGACTTTAGCTTTTCAAATGCGATGTACAGAAGACGTCGGAGCACAGTAGTGCAGCGACTGCTCCCTGGTTGGGTGCTCCTTCACTTCACTGTGTTCTCTATCACTGAATCACAGAAAGTCAACCGGTTACAGCTCACACATGGCTGAGTTGCTTGAATAAAACATTGCCACAAGTATAAGTGTTAAAGTGTATCACATAAAATAATTATCCCCAGAAACGGTCACTGTTTTCTGTTAAGCTAGTTGTGCAGTATGCAATAGCGAGACTACATCAACAGATTAATCTGTATAATATTACTAATAATATTCTAAAAGGAACGGCTGATTAAGCATATTTAATGAATGAAAGTTTAATGAGGATGGATGCTTTGTTTAGTGCAGTGTGGGTTAGGGTTAGAAAAATATTCCACAAAAAAAAAAAAATCCTAAAATATGTGTTTTTTAAAATATTTTCATAATGTAATCGTGTATAGAACCTGGTCTGTTGGTTTGGTTGAGTCATACAACAACTTGTGCATAACACACGTGTCCAAAATATTACTTACTAATACAATAAACGAACAAATTCAATCCAACAAAGTATGAAATAAAACAAACAGAATGACACATTACACTAACAAGGTGTTATTCAACTACTATAAATATAGACAAATGTATATAACAGATAACATTCAATATGTTGCATATTCATTGTATTGTCTGCTTTTGGTTCTGTTTTAAATCAAATCCAAACTTCCATAATACGCCATAGTAAACCATAATCTCGTAATCTTAAGTCTATGATGGTAGTAACCAGATATTAACTTTTTAAGAAGGTATATTACTTACATTTCTTTTTACATCATGTGAGACATTAATTCCATTCCTGCTGATAGGTCCTCCTAAATGTTACACACCGGACCTTTTTAAAAGTCACTAGCCTGCTGCAATAATATCATGATACAGTACCTAAAATGTTAAATGATGTACACTGTCTCTATATTGGTGTCCTCTCCACTCTGTCTCTGTCTCTGTGTGTGTGTGTGTCTGTGTGTGTGTGTGTGTCTGTGTGTGTGTGTGTGTGTCTCTGTGTGTGTGTGTGTGTGTGTGTGGGTGAGCAGAGTCACAATGTAGCCTCAAGACAAACATCACCATTGTGTCCTCAGCTGACATAGCTTTGTGCTAAGTGTGGATGCGTGTGGATTGTGTATATTTGTGCAATGAGGCTACACACATCTGTTAGTGTGTTAGTTGCATTTGTGTCCTTGTCATGTTGTTGTGCTACTGCTGTATTTATATTTATTTCCTCTCACGCACCTCTCGCACACAGTATGTCTTATAATCTTACATTTTTGTTTATGTAATTTGGTATATGAAGCAAAATATCTGGAACTTCACATTAGCTCTACCACAGTTCACAGGGCTTGTGTGTCTTTTGGTAGAGTGTTTATGCAATGTCCAAATTTAAATTTCCTGTACATGCAAGGTAAAAATATGGCTACAGTTTTTATATTAGTTCATTAGTCAACAGACCGTGAATCAGCAACTATTTTGATAACTGATTAATCATTTAAGTAATTTTTCAAGCAAAAATTACCCAACATTCCTCGTTTCCAGCTTCTGAATTGTGAGGATTTGCATGAGAAAAGTTGGGCAAACTCGAACTGTGAGTTTTGGGTTTACATGGTGAACGTCCACCACTAGGCCACCAGCCTAATTTTTTATTTTTTTCACCATCTCATCTCATATATAAGTAACTGACTCACACCCACATGTAGCACTACTTCTTTTTTATACTAGCTCCTCAAATCCCAGAATGGTTCATAAAACAGAATAATTCCCACGTCTGCATTTAAATGCTGTTTTAATGAAGGAATAGGCCTGGCTTTATAGTGACTTTTGACCAGAGAGGTGGTGTTATGCAGAGTGTGAATCACACCATTCTGCCAAGCAGTATCGTTTTGGACAATCGCTCAACACAGTGGTTGGTAATACGACAAATGAGTAACCGCAGGCCTGCAATGACTGTAATGTTCTCACAGATGTATGTTTATTGTGTGCTTTACAGGATATTTGAATATGTGCTATGGAAATGAGTCAGATTTGAGGGCCAGAAATATCTCTTTATAAATCATTCATCTGACTTAATTATCTTACTTGACGTCAAGGAACTAGCTGAAAGGTGGTTTGCATTGGTGGATTTAATGTCCCCCACTCTGAATCATCTGACCCAGCCCATTAATATACTGTTGGTTTGTACTCCTATGTGGAACTTAATTTTGTTGTCGTGTCTAGTTTCTAATACACCCTGTAATACTACCACCGCTACTATCAATGCAATGTAGCACTAAAACTGAGACACTGAGGTCCTCAGTGTCTTTTCTGAGAATTTGGAGATTTTTTCAGCCATTGGGGGTTTTGGAAGTTCAGCGATTAAAAGTTTTGCATTTTTTATGCTGCTTCTAGTATTTTTATTACACTTTTTATAGTGAAATTTTACTTATTTTAGGCCAACAAAATAAAAAAATCAATGATATAAAAAAAGGACTCCTTGTGTCCCGGCATAATAAGTTTCTTATTTAGGTTCAGCAGCTCCATAGCATTTAGATGTTATTATTTTATTCCTTGGAAGTTGCCTTGAATTAACTATGTAAACTGGTACTAATGTATGGAAAACAGAGGCAATGTTCTGAGATACCTTTTGTAGTTACAGTTTAGTTTCAATTATGATGAGTTGTTGATTTCCAGAACAAACTTTCAGGCTATGGGTAGGCAAAAATATGTTAAAATAAAAAAAATAATGCCTTAACACATCATATTATTAAAATTATAGTATGAAAAAATAAATAAGATATTAAGGACGGATGAATGTAAATATTCTATAAATTGTAGAAATTAGTGTTGATATTTATGTTACAGTGAGTTTCGTTGGTCTGAATTATCAGAAAGCTCTGCCAGAGGATCTGAGGCTGGGATCAATGGGGGTTTTAAAACATTTACAATACAACTAAGGGCTCCACCTTCCTGAGCTTTAAAAGGCTTTCGTGACTTTGTGTCATTAACACTTCATTACTGCGATGTTCTTTTCAGGAGCTTCAGCTCATTTTTTGGGCGCTCGTTAACAGAAGTGCAAGCACAAATCGAACGCCTCTCCATTTCTGGCCTCCCTGCACTGGCTTCTAGTCAGAATCTAAGTTTTAAAATTGTGCTGATCACTCACAAAGCTCTGCCTATTCCGGCCCAGGAGAACATTTCTGAACTGCTGATTCCTCCTAACTCTGTCCCACAGGTCCTCAAACTAATGACTAAAACTGATGATCACAGATTAAATCAAACAGGCGTTTTGCTGCTTTTTTATATATATTTATATATATCTAGTTTCCTACCTGTATTTCAGTTTTTTGCTTTTATTTTGTTTCCTCGTGTCGGTAAACAAGTACAAGAGTATACCGCTTAGCTACACTTACTCCTACTTTTTATTAATGGATCTGTGGTATTTTGGCAGGGGGGTGCTTTGATCTAAATGCTAAATGCTGGTTTGGTCGAAATAAACCCTTAATTCACAGACGTAGATGTGAAAATGTTTGTGAAAAGGGCTGCAAAACCATGTTAATCCTTGGGGAAATGCATCAAAGTACGTCCACTAAAAGTGGACACCCTGTGTTGTTGTTGTTGTTGTTGTTGTTATTAATTGCTACTGCAGCAGAATCAATTGCCCCTCTGGGATAAATAAAGGTCTTGAACTTGAACTTTGTCATGAACGTTATGGAAATGTTATGCCACATTCCATAGACAACAACGGTAATTTTATATATATTATATATATATATTTATATATATTGCATATCATTGTAACATCATAAACGTGTTCAAGGTGGACAGAAAGAAAATAAAAGAAAATAAAACTTTCCACTGTTCCATCAACCACAAACTGGTTTGGTTGAAATAAATTCTTAATTGACAGATGTAGATGAGAAAAGCATTTTCAGTTGCTCCACTCAGCTGCACACGGAGCAGACGGCTTTATAAACAAACCACAGAGAGGCTGCGATAGCAACACAGGCAAAGGGAGTGTGACGTTATTCTCAGCTCAGGACACCTTGACTTCAATTTATCTTTACATAACAAATAGTTGTTTGCTACTATATTTATAGTATATAAATGCAAATCTATGTGTATATATAACTTTTATGGTATAATGTTTCCCATGTTAACCATGAAATCCATCCAACAGTTGCTGAGACATTTCACATAAAAACACAAATTTCAGCCTCTTGGCGGCGCTAAAGGACAGGTCAAGGGGTCATCAGGAGTTGTTAGGATTTATCACCTGGGGACCATGAATGTCTGTACAAAATTGAATGGCAATCCATCCAATGGTTGCTGAGATATTTCAGTCAGGACTACAGGGGTCGACCGCCTTATTTATTCCATTAGTGTTTGTGTTCCACCTATATGATATTAATAAGATTGATTAATTCACTGTGATTGTATGTGTAGTGTTTTATTATAAGCATTTGTATTCAGGGGTTGAGCTGTGGAGCCAATCTACCATGGTGTGAACCTTTTATTACTTTTCTGCAAACCCTGAAAATTGCATATTCATATTCTTTGACTAAATTACAGGACAACTTTTCCATTTTCTGGCCTCAATATGCTGTTTATGATATGTCTAAACGCTCTCCTCTCCTCTCCGCAGACTGAGGCAGTGGGACAAAAACTACCACCAACCACATTCAGCTTCAACCACACTCAGTGCATCCTGTATGCACTGGGGGTCGGCATGTCCACAAAGGACCCAGACCATCTTAGGTGTGTATCTGTGTATGTTTGTGCTAATGACTGTAACTGCCCTAAAGGGTCTGAAAAGTCGGCCTGTATAAAGATATAAATTATATTCACAGTATTTTTACCTGCGTGGAGGAAAAGAAACCCACTAAAATGTATCCAGGCTTACAAACACAGGCTTGTGCAGCCATCCTTCCTATCAAAGTGTGATTTTTTTTCACAGTTCACTAACATTTTCATGTAGGTTCCTGTATGAAGGCCATCCAGACTTCGGCTGCCTCCCTACCTTTGGGGTCATTCCCTCCCAGGCAGCCATGATGGATGGCGGGCTGAGCTCAATCCCTGGACTCAACATAGATTTTACACAGGTTAGAAAGGTTGAAAGGTTGTGTGTGTGTGTGTGTGTGACATGGTTGTGTGTACACATGTATATTTGTATCCATATGGTATATTTTACACAATCTTGCACACAAGAAGAATAGTAATGCACACATTACTCATGCTAATGAGGCTTTCAGGCGTTTGAATGATTATGTATTACAGCTGTTGTAATGTTTTGTGTCAGGTATTGCATGGAGAGCAGTATCTGGAGCTTTACAAACCTTTACCAACCTCAGGTATTTCCTTCTCTGCTATTAAAGTACATATAATTCATTGTATATATGGACTTTATCAAATTACTGTTATACTGTTACTGTAGATTTAACATTATGAGTGCAATAAAAGCTATTTTAAGAGCTTCACTGAGTAGTTTAACTTGGATTCATGTTTCTGTATGCCTCCAAGAACAGGATCTCTGATTCAGGCCAGTTTACTGATTAAGCCATGACAGATTTTAAACTGCATTATATTTTAGAGGATACCTATACTGAGGAAATGACTATATGGACCACTCTAGCCCCAGTTTGTGCCTCTCATACGTATCAGTACTTTCAAGTCACAGAGCTAAGCTTTTAGTTTTCTAAAATAGAAATTCCTGATGAATCAAAAACCCAGTGTTATACAACAGGGCGATAATTTCATTATTGATTTATTTGCATTTGATTTTTTTAATTAAATGATTAGTTGTTTGATGTTTAATGTGTTTAATTTTCCACATCATATGATGACATCTTCGAATTACTTTTTTTGTTTGAATGACACAAAAATATTCAGTTAACTATCGTGTAAGATGAGGAAAAATGGCAAATCTGCACATTGAAGAAGAATCAAATATTTTTGAGCATATTTGCTTAAAAATTGACTTCAAACATAGTGATAACACATGTGAGGCATAAAGTGGAGCTAGGCACAGTCATGAGATGAAGTACAGAGCTAGGTTTAGTAACATTAAGTACATACATGACTAAATTACAATGCATTTTTAAAGTAAATGGGTATAATACCGTTTTAGGTAAACTTACCTCTGAGGCCACCATAGCAGACGTGTTGGACAAAGGATCTGGAGCTGTCATCCTGTTGGATGGTGAGTTTCATAACTTTTATCATTGTGTATTTATTAATTTGTTTTCATCTCACTTCAATGTGTCTTTTCCTCAAAGTTGCCTCTCAGGCTGAATTAATGAAAGTTAATTTACAGTCTGTGTCTGCAGGGATTGAAATAATGGACTGAGAACGGCTCATATTTTTGTTTGACAATTCTATTGAGATGGATGATATTAGAACCACTCTGATCTATAATTAATCCGACTTAAAACAAGTAACGTGGGACCTGAAGTTCCCCGAGGATTCGCAGAGGGAAACTCAATGTAATTTCGTTACACACGCTAAACCAGTCAGCTTGTTATCCTCCTAGAGTGAACGTTAGGTTATTTCTGGGTAAGACGTCACGTCACAGTAATGTCCTGCAGAAGCGGCTTGGTTTGTGTTTATGCCTGATTATTTTTTTAATTGACCTAATGAAATTAACCAGCCAGTATGTTGACAGGACTGTCTGGATTAGATTCCTTCTGACAGCTGCTAATTGTCTCCTCAGTCAGTTTCCATGTGGCCGTTCCTCCTGCTCTAATATTTACTATAAATGTGCTGTAATGAGAAAATGTAACTGAAGCAGGCGTTTTCTTCATCGTGTTTATTGTTACACGTAACTGTGTTGGGTTGAGTAGGGTACAAGGTGATCACCAGGCAACAGACTTAAAACGGTAAATTTTTTAGTTTATTTGTCTGATGCTAGATTTACCTTAACCAATTGACCCTAAATAAACCCCGCCCCTTTTTGCTCTGTGCTCCAATAACAGTTGAGCAAGCTTCGCTCAACTTCCTCCTTCCCTGTAGTGAGAGATGCTTTAATGTGCTAGACTAATGTTGAAAAGACAACCAGAATAATTAATAAAGATGTTTAAAAGATAAAAGTGTCCTAGTCATATCTTTAATTAGAAAAATGCTTGCTAACTTGCTAATAAACATGAATTTTTAGCTAGCTTAGTAACATCTGATAGCTAATGTTAGCTAACTACTTGGTGTAAATACTTGGTATAAAACTCAAAAACTCACCAGGAGGGTACATTTAAAAAGTTGATTACTTTGGGTAAAACATTACTTAGCACAGGATCATTACTTTATTAAATATGATGTATTTTTACAGATTAAACAGCTCCAAAGTTAAATTAGGCTCCGCTTTAACCCTCTTCCACATTACTGTGCTGCGTACAAATGAATTATGAATTAGTAATAACCCAAAAATATAATATATAACAATATACCAGTGTGGTGCGCCATGATTACTTTTATATTTTATGTGTACAGAGGTATTATCAGGAAAAAAAAGAAGTTTGTACCATTATTTCACTGTGATATTACTACTTTTACATAAGTAGAGGCTTTGAATACTTCTTTTGCTTTACAGTGAACACCTACAGTGGCTCCGAGCTGGTCTGCTACAACCAGTTTTCAGTGTTTGTGGTCGGAGCTGGTGGGTTCGGAGGGAGGAGAACCTCAGAGAAAGCCAAAGTACGTGTTCCATATCCAACCTATGTTACCAAAACGGACAAAATAAGACGTCAGGACTTAATGCTGTCACATATTTGATTTGTTTTATTTGTGTTTTACTTCCTTCAGGCTCCTCTGCCTCCACCTAAACGGGCACCAGATGCTGTGGTAATTGATTCTACCACAAGAGACCAAGTGAGTGTGTCTGTGTGGGTTTAGTTTGCAGAATAAATCCGTTGCATTGATAATATGTGGGAGAAAATAGGACATATTGTTTTGTGCCTCTGAAATAACCACAACGTTGTAGACAAAATGTGAAGATTCGGCAGAAGTGTTGAACGATGTGTTCTATACAGTTTTAAAAAAGAACACCGACTGTATGATACAGCAGAAAATAAAAAAGAAAGGGGAATAAAAAACTAAATCCCTTGAGCAATTTTAATGACTGCAACCGTATCACTTCAAAGACATTCTTATTTTAGGTATCTCTTCATGATAATTTAATTTCATCCCACATCTGTGTATGAAAAGTTCAGGGGTTTATGAATTAGATATAGATCTAAACAATTTCCGTTTCCCCCCGCGGTTACAGGCGGCCCTGTACCGTCTGAGTGGAGACTGGAACCCTCTTCATATAGACCCCAGCTTTGCTGCCATGGGAGGTGAGAGTCTGCGTATCTATCGGGGCTTGATGGGGGTCGTTTTCCATTAGAGCATTTCTTAATTAATTTTGACTCAATATTTGCCCTGGGATTTTAGGTCAAATGATGTGTTTTAGTCTCATCTATACTTAAACATGCTGTACTTAAAAATGCTTTTTGCTCAGGCTTCCAGGCTCCCATCCTCCATGGCTTGTGCTCATTTGGCTTTGCTGCGAGACACGTCCTCAAGCAGTTCGCTGACAACGACCCCTCCAGATTCAAGGCTATCAAGGTAACCTTTGATTTAAACATACATTGCACTCATTGGGCAAGAACCACTTGTATGAACAGGTTTGGTCTTCAGTGGCAGACTTCAAGTAATTTGAGAGGATCTGGCGCATTTGTCAAATTTCTTGTATTGACAATTTTTATTTAGATACGAAGGAAATTCGTTTTTGTACTCCGGACCTTTTGTTCAAGTCATGTTTCTCAAAATGGGGAAATCTAATCTGGAGTTATGTCACGTCCACCTCCCATTTTAGTAATGGACCAATTTGATTTGACGTGACATTTTTTAAAATCTAACCAATCATGATTTGATTTGGATTCCCTAATGTAATATAATACAGACACTGTATCGGTCATGCGTTTTGTCGTGTGTCCATGTGTATATTTGTCTGGACTCATCATCCTGATATTTTTTTAGGCACATTTATGATGATGATGATGATGATGATGATGATGTATGGCCAATGACTTGGTTCGTGGTTTGGAATTGGGAGTTTTGTCTCCATATAGCCTGTCTACTGTGGATACACCTTGATTATGTAACCTGCATATTGTCTCCCCCTCATTCCACTACACTCATGCATACATACTGGAAACACAGCCTGTTTCCCACCCACAAACCCCCCAGACACACCTGGCGAAGATCTGCACTCTTCTAGTTTTCATCTGCCGATTGCTGTACACAATCCTTCTTTTTACTCCTGGATGACATTTTCAGGGCTTTGATTTTGCAAATTAAATCTGAGAACATCCACACACGGACAGCTGGAATTCATCATTAAAACGATTCTGTGCAATTTTAGAGAATTTGGGGAATCCAAGTTGTCTTACGACCAAAGTTCAGAAAAAAGTAAGAGTGGTCAGCATCAGAATACAAAAATGTTGTGGCGTGATGCCCCATTGACGTCTACATTTTTAAGTTTTTGAAGAACCCTGCAGATTGTGGTTGCACATTGGAGAGGAGGAATATACTCTTGAATAACAATGTTTATAAAGTCTGGTTGAATGTTATATAGTATTTGAGCTACAGATCCATGAACTCCTTGGACTCATTAATCTCCTGTCTCTCTTTCACAGGTTCGCTTTGTGAAGCCGGTGATGCCGGGTCAGTCGCTCCAGACCGAGATGTGGAAGGAAGGCAACAGAATTCACATCCAGTGCAAAGTCAGTATTTAGCGTTAGTGTGGATGTCAGACAGATATGTCCGACTCGTCATTTCAGTGTTGTTCTCTGTCCTTTTGTGAATGTTCTGCATGTGTCGTTGTGACCAGCGCTCTTTTCTTTCGCCCAGGTGAAGGAGACAGATGCCGTTGTGCTAGCTGGCGCCTACGTGGATTTACACAGTGCATCAGAGGGCTCTCCAGAAAATCTCACTCAAGTACAAAAGCAATCCTCCTTTTCCTTTTATCAAGTTCAGCTTCACGAAGCCCTGAAGACAATTTGACAATTTGGACAAAATGAATTTGCACCCCAAACATCTCATGTCGAGTGTTTCTGTTACTTCTACCTTTGTGCAGGGAGGAGGCCTTCAGAGCGAGCTGGTGTTCGCAGAGATCGGCCGTCGTATTAAAGACTCGGGCTCGGAGTTGGTCAAGAAGGTCAATGCTGTGTTCGGCTGGGAGATCACCAAAGACGGCAAGAACGCTGCGCAGTGGAGTAAGCCCGCTGAATGCTGAACAAACGCTTTAAACACGCCACTAATTCAGCGTCACTGCGATGTGGGAAACATATCGGCAATACAACGCAGTAAAATAATAAAAGACATAAAAAGTGCTGGGAATGTACACATAATACAGAATATAAAAAAAAACGGTTCATGTGATCAAAGCCAGAGAAACAGGGATGGGTTAAAGTGCTGCGGAGAGCCAAGAGGCAGTTTAGGCAGTATATTTTATATACATGGGATAATTTAAAACTTGAACTTCTGACAGGAAAGAAGGATGTCAAGTTCCTTTAAAGAGGATGTTCCAGATATACTTAGATGGATTTATCTTTCAGTCAGATTTGTCTGTATCCTTCACGGCTGCTGCTCACCTTGACATTGTAGCCCAGCTGATTTCTGTTTCGCACAGTTAAATACCCATAGCAACAACTCACCGAGAAGGTCAGGACTGACGCCGTGATGGATTTGTAACACTGAACCTCCGTCGGATTGTCTCGCCCTGAATTTTTTGGTGACGTTTTCCACCATTAAACATGTCAGTCTCTTTTAGCGCTACGCTAAGCTGACAAGTTCATTTGACCCAGATTGACACGTTGCTAACAAGCTGTCAAACAAACAATATTAAAACTAGGACAAAAACCTGTGCTAATGACTGAATAATAACTCAGAACAAGCGTGTTCCTAGGACAGACAAAGCCAACCAACCCAGGGAAACAGTTTTCAAAGTGTTTATGATTTATTCCATCTTCCATCTCTGCCTCCTCTTCCCCCCCCTCCCGCTGTCTTCCTCTAGCCATTGATCTGAAGAACGGCAGCGGCTCTTTGCATACAGGCCCTTACAGCGGGAAGGCGGATGTGACCTTCACAGTGTCAGATGAAGACTTCATGGAAGTGGTGCAGGGGAAAGTCAACCCTCAGAAGGTAACACATAAGTAGTCGGGCGTATTCAGTCGCAGCGAATCTGTTTACCCGCTGTACTGTAAAGGGCCTTGTTTTTTCCCCCCTGCATGTTTATCGATGTGAAATATACAGTGTAACAGTATACCAGCACAAGGAAGCTCTGTAGCTGAAGTCTTGCAAAAACAGATGCTAAACTGGCGAGAAACGTAGCATCGTAGCTTCAATCTCAGCTTTTTTTCCCCCTTCCAGACGTTAAAATCACTTCTTACACATTCTAATTAGAGTGAAAGTGCCTTTGAAGAGCCCTTCAATCTGTAAGAACTTCTCCCTTGATCTCATCATGTCAGAAGAAAAATGGAAGGCAATGATCTATCAAACCAAGTTCAGAAAGCACTCAGCGAGGGTAATCAATCGACGCTGCTTGTTATGTCTGTAGCATCTCATCTGTCACAGGGAGTGGCCATCAATGGACATAATTTCTATGCTTCCTGGGGCGCTTGATATTGATCTGAGGCCAGGGTGTGTGTGTGCGCGCTCCCTTACAAAGAGCGCCAGCAGGCTGAAGGATCCTTCCAGGCGGGGTCGTTTCCAGCTTCTCAGACAATGAAAGGAGCAGCTGGAGAAAGATTAGTTGTTGAAGTTAAAGATGACACCGCTAACTGCCATCCAGGACTGCCACCCCCCCGATTGATTTTAGCAGGGGAAAGCGCTGCTCATCGTCAGTAGTCCCAATAAAGAGACTTTCTGCTGTGTCTCTCAGCTCTGAACCTCATGAATATGAATATTATTTCATTGTTCTGCTGCCAGAGCACCAATATTCACATATTCCCTTTTGCCCAAGACTTGGCCTGTTGCTTTTTCATTTGTATGAAGTGTTAGCCACAAGCGTTTTGGCCCCATTTTACTCCCTGTATACTTGAAAAACAACTAACAGTCAACCAGCTAGAAATCAGAGGAGACTTTTTGTTTTCTTAAAAAAAAAAAAAATAATTCCTCAAGTGTGTCCATGTTGTTCCGCCAGGCGTTCTTCTCTGGCAAGCTGAAGGTTAGAGGGAACATCATGCTGAGTCAGAAGCTGGAGGTCATCCTGAAGGACTACGCCAAGCTGTGAGCTCCTCGGCCAACCAATCAGATGACTTGAGGAACCAACCAGCCTACCAGCTCTCTCCTTCTGTCTACTTTTCTCGTCCTGATTCATGTGTGTGTACATGCTTTGCTTCTCGAGGGAAAGGCATGAAAAATCAGAGTACCATTTGTACTACTCCAGAATGAATTCTCATATAAATTAACTTTCAGTGTAGTTATAAAATGTACAGAGATTGTAAAGAGTTGTTTTCTCAGTTACAGCACTGACGAGAGAATCAGCAGTAAGTCAGTCACTTCAGCTGGTTGGAGTTTACTTAGTTGGGTCCTTTATAGTCCGTCCTTGCTAAATGTGCACTTAACACACCTTGCCTTTAAACATCCAAATAGGAAATCAACCACCTGGTTTGCATAGATTTGATCCAGTTTCACTAAAAAGTTTCAGTTTCTATTAAATAAAATATTGTATTGTGTTTGTAGAAACAAGCGTCTACTACATCGAACCAAAAATCTTGCTGAACCCTGGGCAAATGTAACAATTACAATCTACTTTTAAACCTGAAGTTATATTGTCTGTTATTTCATTCATTCACCACAGTCTCTTAAGGCAGAAGCAGCTTTATGTCCCTGATACTGCAATCACAACAAACTGTATGAAATGTATACTAATGTAGTTTTGATAGTTATGAAAATAATGTATAATAATTGTAATGAAATTCAACAGTTGCTCCTCTATTTGAAGGAAATAATTCAGACTAAAAGCTCACTTCTGTATGTGTAATATTTTAGAGTTTTAGCCCGTTGTTAAGCTGTCCAACCACAACTTTTACTGTCTTGGTTCCCCGTTCTCATAGCAATCATGTCCAGCAGCAGCAGGCAGCAGTTTTCAGTGCAAAAACCCTTAAAAACCCCACTGTACGCTACCTGCTCATCACCAAACTGCAGACAGACAATGTTAACAACTTAGTGGAGCATTTAGCAGCTAAAGAGCCAAATATTTCCCTCAGGAGTTGGTGAGAACTAACTAAAGCTATTTACATTCATCAGGTGGCCAGAAATACGACTACAAATGAATGCTAATATGCTAATATGAAGGCTGTTTCCTGACAAGTTTGCCTATCAACTTAAAAGGTGATATAATGCCAGTGTTATGTATGCTGCCCCCAAGTGGCCAACAAAGTTAGTGCAGATTTTTTTTTAAAATCTAAATCTGTGCCAATGGCTCATTCCTCATGTCTTAATCTTTTAACACCTTACTGAATGAGCAAAACATTAGATACATCTTCCTGATATTGAGCTGTAGCTGCTTTTTGCACCATCCACATCCCAGTTTTACCAAAAGTCCCAGTGTTTTTCACTGTGTCTCCCTATTTACAACACATCTTCCTGTTAATTAGTTAAGATGACGGGAAGAAATTCAGTGAGTCTCACCTGGATTTACCTCATCCAAGGTGAAAGGGTGTCATCACTTTATGCTGCGAAAAGCTCCACTGTTGTACTTCGCATCTGTTAAGTCAACCAAGGGGGCCACATGACAGGTAACTCATTGATTTTGACCTCTCATCCTGCGCCATCAGCGGTACACAGCCCTGTTCTGGTAAGCATTATTCATCATAGACATACAAGACATACTGTTTT